CTCCTCGTCCTCGTCCTCGTCCTCGTCCTTGTCCTCCTCCTCCTCCTCCTCCTCTCCTCCTCCTCCTCCTCCTCCTCCACGCTCCTCCCCTCCCCCTCCTCCTCCTCCTCCTCCGCCTCCTCCTCCTCCTCATCCTCATCCTCCTCCTCATCTGTTTCCTGTTCCTCCTCTTCGTCCTCCTCCTTCTCCAAGCACTTTCCTACCCTCCTCCTCCCTCCTCCTCCTCCTCCAACTCCTCCAACTCCTACTCCCTAATCCTACTCATACTCCCTCTCCTGTTCCTCTCCTCACCCTCCTCCGCCTCACTTCCCCTTCCCCCCACTCCCCCTCCCCCCTCCTCTTCCTACTCCTCCCTGATCCTCCTCCTCCCCTTTTCCTCCCCTCGCTCCCCATCCTCCTCCTCGTCCTCACAGGGCCTCCTCCTCCTCCTGCTTCCTCCTCGTCCTCTCCCCTCCTCCGCCTCCTCCTCCTCCTCCTCCTCCTCCTCCTCCTCCTCACTCCTCCTCCTCTCCTCCTACTACTACTACTACTACTACTACTACTACTACTACTACTACTACTACTACTACTACTACTACTACTACTACTACTACTACTCCTACTCCTACTCCTCCGCCCGCTCCTCCTCCTCCTCCTCCTCTGCCTTCGCCTCCTCCTCCTCCTCCTCATCCTCCTCCTCCTCCTTGTCCTCCTCCTCATCATCCTCTTCCTCTTCGTCGTCCTCCTCCACCTGCCGCTCCTCCTCCATTCCTTCTCCTTATAAATAACTTTTCCCTGTCGCACCCCGAGGCCAGTTTTTAGGGCGGGGCGGGCGTTTCGCTTGAGACTTCCTCACCATTTGCGACCCTAAACATTGGCAACTGTTTCACCGATGGGGGGCGGGTGGTTTTCAACATGTGGCTCTCGCCTTACCGCCGCGCACATTCGTTTTAAACTTTACAAGATATTCACTGTTTGAGGGCGGGTGGTTTTCAAAATGTGGCTCCTGTCTTACCGCCGCGCACATTCGTTTAAAAAGAATTGCAGGAGCTTCACGGAATGAGGGAGGGTGGTTTTCAACATGTGGATCTCGCCTTACCGCCGCGCACAACCGTTTATCCAAAATGCAAGAGCTTCACGGATTGAGGGCAGGTCAGTTTCAAAATGTGGCTCTCGCCTTACCGCCGCGCACATTCGTTTTTGAATTTCCAAGAGCTTCACGCATTGACGGCGGGTGGTTTTCAAAATGCGGCTCTCGCCTTACCGCGGTGCACATTCGTGTTTTGTATAAGACGTGGCTCTCGCCCTACCGCCGTGCACATTCGTTTTAACACGTTGCAAGAGCTTCACGGATTGAGGGCGGCTCCTTTTCACAATGTGGTTCTCGCCTTCGCGCCGCCAACATACTTGATACAAAATTGCAAGAGTTCCACGGGTTCCCATGATCTACATACCAGAAATTGTGTTTTGGCAGCAGTCACGATTTTGAGGGCGCAACAGGTACGATGACTCGCGGAGTTGAGGTCCCAGAAATGGCGTTCTGGCACGATTCCGGATCGTCAAGACGCAACAGTCAGGTTCATCCGTGGCGTTGGAATACAAAAAAACCTGTTCTGGCATGCCTCAGGATCTTCAAACGGCTGTCTTCCAACGAGGCAGGCCCCTCTGTGGAAGTGAACCGTTGTAGGGACCTATGAAGAGGGAGATTGGGAGGAGGGTGTATTCCAACATCGTTTGTGACTCTTGGGTTTACACTGGTCCTCCTCCTCCTCCGCCTCCTCGTCCTCCTCCTCTTCCTCCTCGTCCTCATCCTCCTTCTCATCCTCCTCCCCCTACTGCTACTCCTCCGCCTCCTCCTCCTCATCCTCCTTCTCTTCTCCTCCTCCTGTTCCTCCTCCTCCTCCTCCTCTTCTTCCTCCTCCCCATCCCATACCTTGTATATGTTCCTCCTCCTCCTCGTCCTCCTGTTCCTTTTCCTCCTCCGTTCGTCCTCCTCCTCCTCCTCCACCTTTTCCTCCTCCTCCTCCTCGTCCTCGTCGTCCTCATCCTCTTCTCCTCCTCTCCTCCCCTCCTCCTCCTCCTCCTCCTCCTCCTCCTCCTCCTCCTCCTCCTCGTCCTCCTCCTCCTCCTCCTCCTCTCCTCCTCCTCCTCCTCCTCCTCTCCTCCTCCTCCTCCCTCCTCCTCCTCCTCCCTCCTCCTCTCCCATCACCTGTTTTTTTTCCTCCCTCTTCCTCTCCTCTCCTCCTCCTCCTCCTCCTCTCCTCCTCCTCCTCCTCCTCCTCCTCCTCCTCCTCCTCCTCCTCCTTTTCCTCCTCCTCCTCCTGTTCCTCATCCTCCTCCTCTTCCTCGTCCTCGGCCTTGTCCTCCCTGCACTGCCCGCCCCATGCCCCGAACATTTCGCAGTGTCACCAACTCGTCGTTGTCGTTGTTATCGTCGTCGTCGTCTTTTTGGGCCGGTGGCACAAGTCATAAGGCTTTCATAACATGAATCCAGACCATCCCACTCAAACCCGTTTCGACCTCCCCACACACATACACACACCACCCGCAACGAACATCACTTTGCGAGCACACGCGTTTATCAAAATGCGCCAATGATCCAGAATCCCTTGCCAACAGACACACGTGACGAAGTGCACACGACCGCGTCGTCACGCGCGCATGCCGAAATCCGTCGAAAAGCTCAATTTCCGCAACGCATTCAGAATCGAGTGCCCCGAAAACACATGAAACACACATGGTTTCGTAACATGATTTTCACAACATGACACAAAAAAACGCGCGCTGTTGCGAATTCTACTGGGAACCATATTTATCCAGCGTGTTCATCCGATGCGACCAAACGGGCCTGTCGCGCGCGCATGCTGGAGACATTCGAATGCCCTTTGCGCGCTTGCTGAGGTGGGCGCGATCCCTGTCAACTAATACCATGCCGATCGCGTTCGCTGGCCACGCGCGCATGTCGAGATCTTCCCAAAACCGTCATCACCGACACGTGGACAGCATCATCGCCATCGGGGTCATCAGCATCGGCACCGCCACTGGCCCTGCCGTGGTCATCGTCATCATCGTCACAAGCATCGCTACGATCATAATCGTATCTGCGGTTGTCAACGTCACCATGATACCGCGCCCGCCCGAATCACCGACTCGCACTGAAGTGCCCGCGCGCCAGCGCGGCTTGCGACACGGCCTGGGGAGCCTCCAGCGGTCAGCGCCACCGCGGCCGCGTCGGTCGCGCCAGACTAGTTGGCCGCTCTGCGCGCGATTTTGCGCGCGCTAGCGCGGCCACAGCGATGCGACAGCCAGCGCCTAGCAGTCAACGCAAACGCCGCCACATGGGTGATGTAAACCAAGTTACGGGTGGATGGGTGGGATGATTGCGCGAGCAAGCGAATTGATAACTCACTGCGAACAGAAATACAGTGCACCGCATGGACTGGACCACATAGATTGCTACACCCAGACTACTACACATAGATTATACAGCATCTATTGATACACATGTATTGCGCAACGCAGATTGCACCAAATACATTGCGCCACATGGGTTTCTCCGCATAGGTTCTCCTTTTCCAAAAAGAAACAAGTTCTACCACCCTCCCCCCCCGGGACTTATCGACTCCCCAGGAACCGACGCAAAACACATACGATGCTGACCCAATGTCCATCCTACCTTTGAACTCATACTATCCCAGCCAGGCCGGTATCGGACCCCTCAGTTTCCTGGCACCAAAAATATACGGTGAAATTTTTTGTTCTAGCAAAGCACTTTTCGCGAATCCCTTTTGTAAAACATACACGCGCGCGGCCGCTGCGCGCGCATGTCGAAATCCTTCCAGCAACACTGTGCGTTCAACAAAAAAACACGTTCGCACCCACGAATTCTGAACAGTCTGCCCGCGCGTCCTTGCCGAATCATTCAAAAAAATGGTTTTTCAACGTTCCTGTCAAATCGGGCTTCTTGGGCAGCTTTTGCGCGCACGTCGATCTCACTCAACAACGGTCGCGCGCTTGCCAGGGCCAAATACCATGCGGGGCACATGCGCGCGGCCACCGCGCGCAGGTCGAAATCATTCCCAACACAGTGTGGTTTCAACAAGTCCAAGACCGAGCTTCATGAAACCATACGAATCGTACCATACATCCTCGAACAAAATCTGCGAACAAAAAAAGAACATCATACCCGCGCGCGCGCTTCGAATCCTAAAAACCATCGTTTGTTTCAACATTTCTGTAATGCGGAATCGTCGACATCGTTCGCACGCCCTTGCGCGCGTGCTGGCGTGGCACGATCCGTGTCGAATAATACCGCGCTGGCCACTCTAGCGCGTCTGCCGCGCGCGCATGTCGAACTCTTTCCCAAACGTTCATCACCGACGCAAAACCGCCGTCATCGTCACCGGCGTGATCGGCATCGGCGCCGTCATTGGCTACCCCGTCGTCGCTGTCAGAATCGTCGCCAGCATCGCTACTATCATCGTCGTGTCTACCTTTGTCGACGTTGCCATGATACCGCGCCCGCCCAAGTCGCCGACTCGCACTGAAGCGCCCCATGGATGCGCCGAGCGGTCAACGCCACCGCGTTCACGCCGGTCGCGCCAAACTAGCTGGCGGCTGCGCGCGCGAGCATGCGCGGGCTAGCGCGGCCGCGGAGATGCACCAACCAACAACAAGCACTCATCTCAATCGCTTCCGCATGGGTTTTGCAAACCAAGCTGCGGGTGGGTTGGTGGGATGATTGCGCGAGCAGTGGAGTCGACAACTTCAAGTTCGGCAAGGAGAATTACACAACATTGATTGCACCACCTACAGTATACTGTTCCACATAGACTGCACCACACAGATTGATCCACATTGATTGCTAGAAACATACTGTTTGGGGTCCACGCTGGCTAACGTCGACGCTAATAAACGCTAAGTCGGCGCTTTCTCATCGATTGCCAGACGCTAGCGCAAGCTAGTGCTCTCTAAAGACGGAGCTTCGAGTCCACAGGACTCCCATGAGTTGCTAAAGAAGCCTGCTGGGGTCGCGGTTCCCGATCTTCGAGTCGTCACAGTATTTGTACCTGCGCCGCCAGGACATGTCCATGTCCACTGCCGCGGGATCGTGTCCCTGGGGCTCGGGGAGCGGCGGAGATCTGTATACCTGCCCGCCCACGCGGGCGGGCACGAATCCATGTCCACCACTACTCGAGGGCCCAAGGCACGACTCCGAAGCTGTGGGCGCGGACACATTCAGGCGAAGGCATACCACATCTCCTTGCCCGCGGCGTCGTGGCGCTGGACCCCTGCCCGTCGGGCGCCAGCGGTCCACAGGCACCGGCCCGGGCCAGCTGGACCCTCGGCCCAGGGCTGGGGCACACGCCCGGGGCGAGGTGGCACGCCACGGCAGCTCCAGGTCGGTCCCCGAACTGAAACAGGGCTAGGATCGGGACGAATCGCTCCCAGAGCGTTCCGGAGCGCTCTGGAGCGGCCGCGGCGCCCGATGCATCCTCCAAACCCGCCGATCCTCGGAGATTTCGAGTCATCCCGATCCGATGTTGCCCCGATCTTCGCGTCGCTTTGCGCCCTCCCCGGGGTGCAGTGCGCACCAGCTCTCCAGGCCGCGCCCGGCCGTGGCGACGCGGGGGCCGCCCGGAGGCCCACGGCCGTGGTCTCCGCTCGCCCCCCCCTGGCCGGCGCGGCGGGGAAGGCCCGCGCGCCCTGCCCGGGGGGCCCCAGGGCTGGCCCTGGCGAACGAACAACACAGGAGGAGGAGGAGGAGGAGGAGGAGGAGGAGGAGGAGGAGGAGGAGGGAGGGGGAGCAGGAGGAGGAGGAGGAGGAGGAGGAGGAGGAGGAGGAGGAGGAGGAGGAGGAGGAGGAGGAGGAGGAGGAGGAGGAGGAGGAGGAGGAGGAGAGGGGGGGGCCCAGGGCTGGCCATACCCATAGGGAGGTCGGAGGAAGAAGGACTGGCTGTGGGTCTGGGTGCGGGTTGTCGGACCCCTGGGGGGGCTCCCGATCGAGCGGGGACCCCCATCCGACAACACGCACCCATAGCTCATTCCGTCCCCCCATGGGTATGGGTGCGTTTTGATCGTTCGTCAGGCCCAGAGCCGGGGCCGGCGTGGGTGTCGGCAGCTGGCGCCCCCTCGCCTTTGATGCGGGCCACCAGCTCGTCCTTCTCGTCCCAGCCCTGCCCGCCGGCCGTGGCCGTGCTCTGGTCCCGGTCTTCGTATGTCGACCGGAAGAGCTCGATGTAGCGGCCCTGGATCTCCTGCTTCTGCTTCTCCGCCAGCGCCCTCTCGGCGGCGCCCTTCGACGGGAAGACGACGAAGGCCTCGCCGGTAGACTTGCCATCCGACGTGCGGCCCAGGGACACCATCGACCTGTCCACCCCGTACTCCCGTACAAACTCCACCACTTCCTTCCAAGAAGAAAGCACTGCATAAGCATAAACTGTCGGAGGTCCACGCGGATTTCTTGGATCGGCGATGGAACCCCGTAGCGGCATCTCCAGCGCCGCCACTGTCGCGCTCCGCACGCCCAGGAGTGGGTCCAGTGCCGAGCCAAGAAATCCGCGCGGAGCTTCGAAAGTTCATGCTTATTGAGCATCGTGCATTCGACCCCTATGATCCCCAACGGCGTGGCCTGGGCCCCACTGGCCGATTTACGCCCCTAGACCCTAGACGGGTTTCGAGGGATATACCCCCAACTGGGGGGGTGAGATGGTGGGGGTCTGTATGGGGATGGGGATGCGGATAAACGATGGGGGTCGGCTAAACGATACTGACTGACGCAGCGCTTTTGCTATTCGACAAGTCCTCCACCGCGCACTGGAACGGCACCCCCCGGAGCCGCAGGACGCGGCCATCGCTGGCGATCTGGACCACCGCCTTCTCGGGCGACAGGCCTTGCTCGTAGGCCTTGAGGAAGTTCCGTATGGACTCCGCGGTGTGGCGCTGGGGGTCCCTGGTGCCCATCTGCAGGGCGTCGCAGTACGCCTCCCAGTACTCCTTCCCGGTGCTGCTGCTTCGCTGGATGAACTTCACGTTCGCGACGAGCTGCTCCTTCATGCCCTCGCCAGTCGCGGAGGCCGAGCCGCTGGCGACCTCGGCGGAGAAGCCCCCCTGGGTGCCCTGCTTCAGCTCGTCGGTGCTCGACCTGAAGAGCTCAATGTAGCGCCCGCTGATCTCCTGCTTCTGCATGACCTCGATCGCCTTCTCGGCCAGGTCGGTCGTGTCGAAGACGACGTAGGCCTGCCCCGTCTTGCGGCCGTCGGGCCCGAACCCCAGGAACACCTGCGACTGGTTCACCTTTTGTGCATCGCTATTAGATCCCTGTCCCCACAGGCGCGGCCTGGGCCCAACTGGCCGATTCACCCTACCTAAGTGGGGATACCGGCTGCTCCCTACGCTGGCCATCGCTCGGACGTCCATTCCCTGTGTTCTTTGGTCGGTTTCGTGCGTGGCTTTTTCGCCGAATGATCAAGGATGCTCCTCGATGGTCCTCGTCGCAGGAAAAATGCACACGCCCGAGCGATGCCAGGTACGGGTTCCGAGAGGCCTATCCCCAACCAGGGCAGTGTGCTGGCGAGGCTGAGGTGCCGTGGCCCTGCGGGGATGGGGACAGGTTCCTTGAGATCTGACGGTGCAAAAAAGAACACCACCGAGAAGACACGACCGGAACCCTAGACCCAATCTTTCTGCGTACTTGCTTCGAGTCGGATCGAGCTGCGAGGGTCCCCGGGCTCCAACCGTGGGAAAACGCCGGTTGTGCAAAAACTGCAGCGCCAGGATCTCAGGGTTGAGTATTGCCGAAACCTGGAAGTCTGCCAGGAAGGCCACCACTTCCTCGACGCCGGCCTGGAACGGCACCCCCCGGAGCCGCACGACGCGGCCGTCGGTGCCGTCGAGCTCGGGCGCCTGCGGCTCCTCGCCCCTGTCGTAGGCCTCGAGGAAGTTCGCCATGGACTCCACGCTGTGCCTGTGAGGGGCAACGATGGGGGGGGACGGGTGTGAGGGGGGGTGCGTCGACATCGAGTGGCAGATCCATCGCCCATCTGTCATCGATGCATCGTCGACGCAGACCCTCCCGCGCATCGTCTCTACATTGTCGATGCGTCGCCCTGATGTCAACGATGCATCGTTTCAACCGTTCGAGGTCTACGCATCCCCCCCTTGTGCCTTTTCCGTATACCCCCCGTCGCTGCCCCCGAGCCTGAGGGGGTCGCGGTTGCCCGTGCGGACCTTGTCGCAGTACGCCTCCCACCGCGCCCTGCCATCCTGGCTGCTGCGCTGGATGCCCTTCACGCGCTGCACGAGCGCCTCCTTCCTGGCGGTCTCGCTGTCCGCCGCGCCCAGCATGTGCGTGTTCTCGGCCATCTCTTCCTCGTTCGACCTGAAGAGCTCGATGTATCTGCCGCCGATCTCCTTCTTCTGCATCTCGTCCAGGGCTCTCATGGCCACCCCCGCGTCGCTGAAGACGACGAAGGCCTCCCCTGTCCTTCGGCCGTCTGCGGAGTAGCCCATGCGCACGCAGCTCTCGTCTACGCCGTAGTCCGAGAGGAAGGACACGACGTCCACCGTGCTCCCCTGGAAGGGCACACCGCGCAGCCGGAGCACGCGGCAATCCGTCGAGGCCTTCGCGATGGGCACCTCTGGCGGCTCCCCGCGCTCGTAGGCCTCCAGGAAAATCCGCATGGACTCCACAGAGTGCTTGTTCGGGTCACGGTTGCCGGTGCGCGTGACGTCGCAGTACTGATACCAGCGCTCCTTGCCCTCCTGGTCCGGCGGGGCTCCCCAGAGATAGCCCCGGCTGACCCCAACGCAGGGGAGGAGGGGGGGGGCAAGACGCAGGGGAGGCCAAGAGGCAGGCGTCCAAGAAGGGGGTTCGCAAACCACGGCCCGAGGCATGTGCGCGGACTGGGGATTGGGAGGGCCTGGCCACGAGATCCCCCCGTGGTCCTCTCCCCCCCTCTCGTGGCGGACGGCAGAGGTGGATAGACCAGGGGCAGGCGGCGTTACGCGCATTCGCCCAGGAGCCTCGTCGAAGGCATGGGCGATCGGAGGCTCTGGACACGTGTACCCCCATGCAGTCGGGGCGTTGACCTAAGGAACCCTAAATACGGAACGAGGCCCCTTTTTTCCATAAGTTAACCTTCGATCTCCCATCGAAAACATAAGAAAAACCTGAGGCAAGCTGCGAAACAATTAGGGAACACGGAGCCCCTTCGCAACAAAAAGGGTTCCTTCTTCAGGGCCCCGACTGTATCCGACTTTGCGAAAAAAATGCACGCATCGGAAAAAGTCGCGACCGAAGCCCCGAGCCCCGTGATTCTGCGCCCTGTCTCGAGCCGGATCGACCTGTGAGGGTCCCGGGGCCCGAGGCCGGGCGAAGACGCCCGCTGGGAAAAAATCGCATCGCCAGGATCTGCGGGGAGCTACTCGCCCCTATCTGAAGGGGCCCTGGGACACACACACACACACATAAATACACACAAATAAAAAGATGCCCCAAATTTTCCTATATTTTCATGGTTTCTGTCTTCCCCCCAATTCCCATATTTTCCCATATTTTCTTTGGAATCGACGATTAATTGTGTCTGTTTGTTTTTTCCCCTCCTGACTATCGTCGCCTCCGACCCCTCTCCCTGGACGCCCCCCACCACGGGGGCATGGCCCAGCGCTGTCCGGCGGCGCACCCAGGCCCGGGGGGCGCCCAGGGTGCGCAGGCGAAGGCCGGACTCCTCGGGCCTGGTAGAAGAAAGGCCAGCCTTAGGTCGGGCGTGTACTCCTACAGGCGGATTTTGAATGAAAAATAAAAACGGAAAGAGACATACATATATATATATATATACACATATACATAGTTATATAGATGTACTAGAGCCACGCGCGCGCTTCGCGCGCGCTCAGGTTCTGGTCACGGCTGCGCCGCGTGTGTTGCTGCTCTCGTTTTCGCTCGTGTGATCCTCGACGACGACGACGTCGACGACGACAGGGGCGGCGACGAGTGACGACGAAGACGACGACGATGACGACGACGACGATCACGACGACGACGACGACGACCGCCACCACTACGACGACGACGACGACGTCGACGACCCCTGGAGTGGCCCCGAGGTCCGGACAATTTCCATAGGCCCGGAGTTTCGTCCTAATGTTTGACGGTCCCAGGGCCCGTTGGGGGCGTCAGGATGCCGAGAGTTGTCCGGAAGCTTCGGGATCGGCCAGAGTACCTCAGGGCCTCTGGGGGGAGGGCTCTCGGGAGCCTCTGGGGGCCTCCTGGCGGACCTGTGGGGCCAGCGTGGGTTTTGTTTCGGGGGCTCTTGAAGGTTTCTTGGGGTCTCCCGGGTGCTTTTTGGGGAGGATGGTTCGAAATGTCGGGTGGGGTACCCCTCTGGGCTGTGTGGGGAAGCTGTCCCGGGGCCCTCTGGGACCGTCTTGGGGGCCTCCTGGACAGTCGAGGGCCCCTCTTGAGCCGTCTTGGAGGCCTCTGGGAACTCTCTTTGGCCGTTTTGGAACGATCTGGTCGGCTTCCGGGGCCGTCTTCGACGCGGTCGACGCCGAAGCGGCGAATATCGTAAAAATGCACGTTTCCCGGAGGGGAATGGAGCCATTTTTACCTAACAGCGAAGACTGATAGGTTTCTAGTAGTGTCAAAAGAGAGCATCTTGACTCCCCAGGGGGGTCTGGGCGGGTGCCGGGGAAAACCCGCGGAAGTCGTTTTAAGCAAACAGTTACACACTTCGTGGTCTTCGAGGTCCCAGAACTCCATTTCTGGGCTTGATTTTGAATGCCCAAAGCCAACTGTAGGCCACTTCGTGGTCTTCGAGTTCCCAGAACTCCATTCCTGGGCTTGATTTTGAATGCTCGGAGCCAACTGTAGGCCACTTCGTGGTCTTCGAGTTCCAAGAATTCCATTCCTGGGCATGATTTTGAATGCCCAGAGCCAACTGTAGGCCACTTCGTGGTCTTCGAGTTCCCAGAACTCCATTCCTGGGCATGATTTTGAATGCTCGGAGCCAACTGTAGGCCACTTCGTGGTCTTCGAGTTCCCAGAATTCCATTCCTGGGCATGATTTTGAATGTGTGGAGCCAACTGTAGGCCACTTCGTGCTCTTCGAATTCCCAGAACTCCATTCCTGGGCATGATTTTGAATGCCCGGAGACATCTGCAGGCCACTTCGTGTTCTTCGAGTTCCCAGAACTCCATTCCCGGGCCCCATTTTGAATGCTGAGGCAAGCTGAGGCTCAGGCTGATGCAGGCTGAGGCTGAGGCAGGCTGAGGCTGAGGCTGAGGCTGATGCAGGCTGAGGCTGAGGCTGAGGCAGGCTGAGGCCGAGGCTGAGGCTGAGGCTGATGCAGGCTGAAGCTGAGGCAGGCTGAGGCTGAGGCTCAGGCTGATGCAGGCTGAGGCTGAGGCAGGCTGAGGCTGAGGCCGAGGCTGAAGGCAGACTGAGGCTGAGGCTGAAGCAGGCTGAGGCTGAGGCTGAGGCAGGCTGAGGCTGAGGCTGAGGCAGGCTGATGCTGAGGCAGGCTGAGGCTGAGGCTGAGGCTCATGCAGGCTGAGGCTGAGGCAGCCTGAGGCTGAGGCCGAGGCTGAAGGCAGACTGAGGCTGAGGCTGAAGCAGGCTGAGGCTGAGGCTGAGGCAGGCTGAGGCTGAGGCTGAGGCAGGCTGATGCTGAGGCAGGCTGAGGCTGAGGCTGAGGCTGATGCAGGCTGAGGCTGAGGCAGGCTGAGGCTGAGGCCGAGGCTGAAGGCAGACTGATGCTGAGGCTGAAGCAGGCTGAGGCTGAGGCTGAGGCAGGCTGAGGCTGAGGCCGAGGCTGAGGCAGGCTGAGGCTGAGGCTGAGGCTGATGCAGGCTGAGGCTGAGGCAGGCTGAGGCTGAGGCCGAGGCTGAAGGCAGACTGAGGCTGAGGCTGAAGCAGGCTGAGGCTGAGGCTGAGGCAGGCTGAGGCTGAGGATGAGGCAGGCTGATGGCTGAGGCAGGCTGAGGCTGAGGCTGAGGCTGAGGCAGGCTGAGGCTGAGGCTGAGGCTGAGGCAGGCTGAGGCTGAGGCTGAGCAGGCTGAGGCTGAGGCTGAGGCTGAGGCTGAGGCTGTGACTGCGACTGCCGTTGCCACTGCGACTGTCATCGCGAATGCGACTGCGACTGCGAGAACAGCAGAATTCTACAACTGGATTCTCATCTGAATCTTAAGGGGAATGCTTCCAGATATGCTCCTACACATCGCTGTTAGGTTGCTTTGCCGGGATAATGCTTCTGAAAGCACTCTTTTTGGGGGACTCTTGGGCCGTCGTGGGGGCTCCCGGAGGCCGCCTTATCGTCGGCGTGTTGGAGCGACAATTTGGGGATTCTGGACCTTCGTGGACGTTTGGAGACCTCCTGGCACTCTCGGGTGGCGTTTCGGGGCTGTGTGGGTCTGTCTCGGGGGGGCCCCAGAGGCCCCCCGGGGCCTTTTGGGACAGTCTTGGGGGGCCTCCTGGATAGTCGGGGGCCCCTGTTAAGCTGCCTTGGAGGCCTCTTGGAACTCTCTTTGGCTGTTTTGGGGCGTTCTTGTCGGCTCCTGGGGCCGTCTTCGACGCGGTCGACGCCGAAGCGGTGAACATCGTACATATGTAAGTTTTCCGAGAAATGGGGCCATTTTTGTTTCTGGAGGTGCTCTCGGGAGTCCTCTTGGGTGACTCTTAGGCCGTCGTGGAGGTTCCTGGAGGCCGTCCTGGCGGCCTCTGCGGAAAAGTGCCTGGGGCTGCCGCGCAGCGTGGGGATGCAGAACAGGCTGCATGGGGAGAAACGTGGAAAAAAACTATGGGAAAATCGAGTGTGTGAGCTTCGGGGAGCTTCTGGAGGCCTCTAGGAGGCCTGTGGGGAACCTGGGGCACCAGGCGGGAGCAGCCCCTGGAGCTCCCTGCAACCTCTTGGGGCTCTGGTGGCTCCGGGCCGCCGAGCCCTTGTAAAAGTAAAGGGAAATAAGGCCCCGGGCACCCAATGCGCCGCCGAGGTCCACGGGCGTGACCCGCCCGGCGGCCCACGGTGCTCTGGTGGCTCCGGGTGGCCGACACTCTGAAAAAACAGTGAAAGTAACGCCCCGGGCCCCACATGCCCCGCCGAGGTGCCTGTGCGGGGCCCGGGCCACGTCCCCTGAGGCTCTGGTGGCTCTGGGTGGCCGAAACCGTGTAAAAACACAAGGCAAGGAAGGCCCGGGGCCCCTCATACCCCGCCGAGGTCCCTCGGCGGGACCCACCCGGCCACGTCACCCGGTAAAATCGTGCAAAAAACAAAAAGAGCTTCATGTGGCTATAATTATCCCGGCAAAGCAACCTAACAGCGATGTGTAGAAGCATATCTGAAAGCATTCCCCTTAAGATTCAGATGAAAATCCAGTTGTAGAATTCTGCTGTTCTCGCAGTCGTAGTCGCATTCGCGATGACAGTCGCAGCGGCAACGGCAGTCGCAGTCACAGCCTCAGCCTCAGCCTGCCTCAGCCTCAGCCTCAGCCTGCCTCAGCCTCAGCCTGCCTCAGCCTCAGCCTCAGCCTGCTTCAGCCTCAGCCTCAGTCTGCCTTCAGCCTCGGCCTCAGCCTCAGCCTGCCTCAGCCTCAGCCTGCATCAGCCTCAGCCTCAGCCTCAGCCTGCCTCAGCATCAGCCTGCCTCAGCCTCAGCCTCAGCCTGCCCGTTCAGCCTTCGGCCTGGTCAGCCTGCCTCAGCCTCAGCCTGCCTCGGATGCATTCAGCCTGCCTCAGCATTCAAAATGTGGCCCAATGGAGTTCTGGGAACTCGAAGACCACGAAGGGGCCTACAGTTGGCTCCGGGCATCCAAAATGTGGCCCGGGAATGGAGTTCTGGGAAGTCGAAGAGCACGAAGTGGCCTACAGTTGGCTCCGGGCATTCAAAATGTGGCCCGGGAATGGAGTTCTGGGAACTCGAAGAGCACGAAGTGGCCTACAGTTGGCTCCGGGCATCCAAAATGTGGCCCGGGAATGGAGTTCTGGGAAGTCGAAGAGCACGAAGTGGCCTACAGTTGGCTCCGGGCATCCAAAATTTGGCCCGGGAATGGAGTTCTGGGAGCACCAAGAGCGATTTTGCGAGGATGTCCCAAGCGATTTCGGCTTCGGCGGCAGCCTCCCGGCAGCCTCCCCGGGTCCCGCCCAGACCCCCCAGATCATGCGTTACCGAAAAATTTCGGTCGCGACCGACGGCTTCGGTCGTTTGCCCGCGCCTGGTCGCGACCGGTCTCCGTTACCGGGCGCGACCGGTCGCGACCGGTCGCCGTTACCGGGCGCGACCGGGCGCGACCGGTCGCGACCGATGACTGACGTCAGGCCGCCGATGCCTGACGTCAGGCTGCCATGCTGTTGATAATAGTGGTCATGATTATGTTACTGTAGCAGTTGATGTTCACGTGTGTCATGAAGAGCTGGTATTTGATAGCCTTTAGATATGCTGCATTACATGGACAGTACATGTGATATTGATGCTGTGATCTTGATCTGGAGTTCATCACTCTCTTCTTCCTCGCCTTCCTGCCCAGACGCCCTGGCGTCATTTCCTCCTCTTCCCTCCCATATTCCTCCTCATCGTTCTTTTCCCTCTTCTCTTTCTCTCCCCGTATCATCCCATTCCTCCTCTTCCTCCAAATCCTCTCCTCTCTCGATTTTCCATATTATCCTCTTCCTCCTCTTCCTCCTCTTCCCTATCCTCCGCCCTCTCCTCTTCCTCCTCTTCCCCCTCTTTCCCCTCTTCCCTCTCCTCGTCCTCCTCGTCCTCCTCCTCTTCCGTTGCCATTTTTTAGGCTGTAGCGCCATGGCGCAGGCTTCGTGCCTCGTCCTGCGCGTCGACGGGGCCGACGCGCCCCCTGGCCTCGGAGAGCCATGGGAGGTGATGGAGGTCGGGGACGTGCCCCCTGGCCTCCCCATGGCGTCGACGAGCAACCGCCAGGGGGTCAGGAGGTCCCGTCCGAAGAGGGGCTGGATTGAGCCGCTGTTGGAGCGGGCTTCGCCACGCCAATGGGAAGCCTGCCCCGACATGATCGCGGTGCTGCACTGCCCTCCAGGCGGAGGGCAGAGTTGGCCCCACTCCTGGGCGATCGACGCGGGGTGGGCGCCAGGGCAGCCCGCGTTCACCCTGACGCCCACCTCCACGACGCACTTGCTCATGGAGTGGGAGGTGGGCGGGCGCAGGCGGCTGCAATGGTACCGCAGGGTGGACGCCCTGCCGTACCGCTTCTACTTCGCGCGGGTGTGAAGGTTGCGTGGCATCGAAAAACCTCCCCCCTCCTCTCAACCTCCTTCCTCCTCTACCCAGCCTTGCTTCCTCCCTCCATCCTTCTTCCACCCTTCCCCCCACCCCCCTTCCACCCCCTCCTCCACTCTTTGTCCCGCTCTTCCTCCTCCACTCTCTCCATTCACTCTTTTCCCTAGCCCTTCTTCTCCCCCCCTCTCCTGCTCCTCGTCGTCATCTCGATCTGCCCCGCCCCCCCCGCGTTGGACGCAGAAGGAGGAGGAGCAGGGGGATAGATGGCGAAGTCGGAGGGGGGGGATCGTGGAAAGGTTAGGTAAGGAGGATTGGTAAGGAGGGCAAGCACGAGGAGGAGGAGGAGGAGGAGGAGGAAACACGAAAACGACGAAGAGGACGGGGATATATCTGGAGGAGAGAAGATAGGGAGGATTAGCACGAGGATGCGCCTCGCAGCCGCTCTTTTTGTTTCTCGAGATGTCAGCCCGCGCTGCCTGGGGCCGCTCGCTCGCGGGTTCGCCCCCAGGGGCCCCCTGGGGCCCGAGGCCTTCGCCGCGGGCCACCCCCAGGGCCTCTCCGAGGCCCGCGCCGCCGCTCCGAAAGCCAACCTGTCCTCTGACGGGCGACCTGGAGCAGGCGCTCCTGGACCACTGCGAATCCATGGGGGGCAAACTTGCGTTCGAGCTCGGTCAGTATCACTTCCTCACGAAGGACAAGGCCGCGCATGGGCCGAGCATGGCCAAGAACCCAGAACTGGCGGGCGGGTGTTGAACGCAGCATCGACCACCGAGGCGAAGGAGGACGAGGATTACGAGAAGGGGAAGGGGGACGGGAGGAGGGATAATGGAAGCGGATGGGTGAGGACGTTCACGCCAGCCTGATGTCAGTCTGACGTCAGACTGACGTCAGCATGACATACGACATCAGCCTGACGTCAGTCTGACGTCAGTCTGATGTCAGACACACCCTCCTCCTCCTTCTCCTCCTCCTTCTCCTCCTCCTCCTCCTCCTTCTGATCCTCTTCCTCCTCGTCCCCGTCCTCCTGCATCCTCCCTCCTCCTCCTACTCATCGTCCTCATCCTTCTCATCCCTCTCCTCCTCGTATGCCACCTCCTCCTCCTCGTCCGTCCCATCCTGCGCCTCCTGCGCCGTCTTCCCATCCCCTCGCCCGCCTTCCAAGGTAGAAGTGCTGCTGCGGGCCGCCCCCGAGGCGGAGGCGCCCTGGGCGCAGCTTCGGGACGCCTGCGTCGGGGTGCTGTCCAAGTACCCCAGGGGGGAAGGCGAATGAAGCGGGGGGGTGAGGAGGAGCAGGATCAGGAGGACAATCGTGCTAATGGTAATATGACAGGCACAGGGGTTAGGGGGCAGGGGAGGAGGGATGATGAGGATGTCGGATGCTGAGAGAAACAGTGGTAAGAAGGCTGAGTCGATGGAGGATGCGGAAGGCATGATGGAGGAGGGTGCTGATGAATATGAGGAGGGGGGCGGATGGTCAAGGCTCTCGGGCTTCAGCCGCGAGGTACCCCCGCGCCAGCAAGGAGGCGGCTGGCACCCCCCTCGAGCGGGGCACGAGCCTCGCGGACAAGCTCGCGTGCTTGATGAAGCACTTACGTCGCCTGCGCGACAACCAGACGCGCAGGCGGCAGGCCTTGGCTGCCGAAAACGACGACGGGCGGGGGGAGGCGTGATAAGGAGCGAATGATGGTAACATTGATGGCGGGAGGAAGGCAGCAGGAAGAGGGCGCAAGGAGGGGGCGTAGACATATCAAGTGAAGGGATGCGGTGGAGGAGGACAGGAGGCGGTGGAATGAGGACGGGGGGGTTACGCCAGGCGCTAATCTGGCGACAGTTTGACGTCGGTCTGACGCCTATGTGCAGTCAGATTGTCGTCAGACTGGCTCCAGATTGGCGCTTGGCGTCAGACTTGTGTGAGGCTGGTGCTATACTGACGTCAGGCTGACGTCAGCATGGCGCCATGATGGTGTCAGACTGACGCCATACTGTCGTCAGGCTGACGTCAGGCTGATGTCAGACTGACGTCATTGTGACGTTACACTGACGTCAGCCTGACGTCAGTGTTACGTCATTGCGACGCCAGCATGACGTCACCTCGACGTCAGTCTGGCGCCATATTGACGTCGTTACTACGTTGCAATGGCGTCAGCCCGACGTCAGCCTGCCGTCAGTATGACGTCACGATGACGTCATTGTGACGCCAGAATGATGTCATCCCGACGTCATTATGACGCCAAGGTGACGTCATTATGACGTTTGCCCGACGTCAGCCCGACGTCAGTCTGCCGTCAGTCCGACGTCAGCCTGCCGTCAGTCTGACGTCAGACTGTCGTCAGGCTGACGTCAGTCTGACGTCAGACTGTCGTCAGGCTGACGTCAGTCTTACGTCACACCAACGACAACTTGCTTCCACAGCGTTGGCAAGTCAGCGTTGGCGTGTCGAACCGCCTCCATTCAGGCGATGATGCAGTGCACGCCCGCCCAGCAGGAGACCCTGCAGTACTTCCTGCACCTCCTCGGCGTGCCCCCTGCCATGAGCTGCATGGACACCCCGAGGCATGCAACCTGCCTCCTCATCCCCCTCCTCGTCCGTCCCCCCCCTCCTCCTCCGCCTCCTCCTCCTCGCCCGACTCCTCCTCCTCCTCCTCCTACTCCTCCTTTTCCTAGTCCTCTTCCTCCTCCTCCTCGTCCTCCTCCTCGTCCTCCTCCTCATCCTCCTCCTCCTCCTCCAAGTCGCGTTCCTTCGCCGCATCTTTCAGTCCTCTGGTCGCCACCATTGCGGATGGCCCCACGTCAGATCAAAGCTCCTCCTCCTCCTGCCCCTCGCCCTCATCCACCTCCTCCTCCACTC